CTGATCGGCTCACTAAAATTGATTTCCGCTTTTCAATCGAACCGCTTGTTGAAGCTCCTGGTGGATTACTGTTTCTCACCTTGACGATCGTAGACGGAAGACAGGTACGCTTAATCTCCGTAGTTTGCGTTGCCAAGCTCTATCTATCAAATAATATCTGAATGTCCGGATACTTCCCTATCATAGCTGCTACACGTCGAAGCTGATTGCATTGAAAATTGTAATTCGCTGTACATAAACTATTCAAAGAGACGCCCAGCTCTTGGAGGATATCCTCCGTTTGAGCTAACTTTGATGGCCCACCCGTGACGTTTCTTGAGTCCGCGATTACCATAGTGGAGTTCTGATCTGAATGCTTTTTGCTGTGTTTTATAATCCAAATATCTGGGATAAGACTTTGAATATCCCAATTAGTCAGATCGAATACCCTGGCTATATGCGAGCAGGGCAACAACCGTTGCGCACTTCGTTTCCCCTGCAGTCACTACTTTATAACCCTTGCCCTTACTATCCACGACCATGAAAATCCCTCCCTCGTGAACAATTCGTTCAATCTTGCATGACTTCCAGTTACTTAATAATATATTCCGCGCAAATGGTGTTACTCGTATGAGCAACGGTTTAAACGACTGCATGCTGCTGGGTGTCGGATACCCCTCATGGAATCTTTAGCAACGCAAATTCCATGCGTTACTTCCAGTGACCTTACTCGTTGTAGCACTTTCTGAAATACATCCACTAAGGAAGAGCGAGGAGACAAGCCTGTTTTGAGGTGCCTATTTTCCGTCTCCATTCGGTTGGTAGTTAGGTTCCCTAAAGTCAACCTAGTCCTCACGGTATACCCTGCCCACTGCTGTTGGTATAGTAACCAAGTTCGGTGTAAATAAACACCTGCTTCTGTGCTACTACTTTCTACGGCGGCTAGGAATCTATGAAACTATACCTCATTATCACAGTACACCATGTTGCGCATCCATTGAAAGATACGATGCTTTTCGAACGTGGGCATAACAGATAGCTGATTACATTTCTTCTTCATATCCTTAACGAGATGGAAACGACAAAATATCACGTTAAACGA